ACTGGTGCGTATGGCGTACCCCGAGTGATGAGTACAACGTCAACTGTAGTGATGATCAGTTGAAGGATCGTCCCTTGGATTGCTATCCAGCGATGGCAATCGGCCGTGCTGAAGAACAGCCCGGTGGACCCGTCGGCGTTGATCGCAATGAGAGCGCTGCAAGACTGAAGTTAGGGACTGTATTGGCGACGCCTAGACGCCCACTCACAGCTGGACGATCCAAGGTAGGTAACGCGCCGCGACGTACAAGCACTTCGCGAACGTCCATTGCCGCCTGAGGTGACAGGGTCAGGTCATTGCAGACCGAAGAGCCGGGCATACGAACTTCCAGATAACTTCAACCTGGTTCGTGGTCGGTAAGCGATGTAGTCGTACAAAACCTGAGCGCAGACGTACCTCGTCTCCAATAGTGATAATGATATCGTACGTCAGCAACGTGACCGCCGCCACTGCAGAGTCGTCGATGAGCACGATCTCACGATGAAGAAGTGTGCAACGTACTTTCGCTCCGGCTCACATCTCTCGTCTGCGCTACCACTTCCGCTGTGCTTTCCACCAGGACTCGAAATCCGAAGCTCATCGTGATTAGTTACGGGATGAGCCACGGAAGAAGGGAGCAGACGAGACAGGAGGAGGGAAGGAGGATTTTCAGGGTGCAGGGCATGAGGATAGCATACCGCTGCGACGGGGATAGGTATCTGGGGGGATATGAAGGTAGTTATAAGGATACGCCGCAGTCCTAAAATCACACCGGACGACGCACCTGGACATGCTGTCCGTCCGGAAAGTCGAAGGTTTCAATACGGTCCCTGGCGCCCACATCCTTGACAAACGCCACGGAATAGACATGTCTGATTGATCAGTCTTGGAATGTCGTTATCGCCCTTCCGTGGACAGAAACCACTGATCTTGTGAGCCAGGTCCGGCATTTATGCCTACTTGACGCGTGGAGAGGCGATAGTTCCGGCTAACGGACGAAGAAGAAGGACACCGGCGGGGTGGAAGCTTCCTCAAGTGACGATGTATGTGCGAGTGGACAATCGCAGCGCTGACGGTTTTTATATAGGGAAGCTGACGAAGGAAAGGACGGTATGCCATGGAAAGATTGAGCGTTCCGAAGTGGACGGAAGAATGCCTAGTCAAGAACGCCAGCATGGGTCTTCGAGGTGTACATGCATGGAGCGGCGAAGATGTGTGACGAGAGAATGAAGCGGAGTACATTGAGGTGATATGTGGCTTGCGCAGGAGAAATTTGCCTGAGAACGAGAAGAAGAGAATTGGGAGTCGCGGTACGTGCTTGGGGCACGGGGTAACGCCGCTTGAGTGTGTTCGTGGTAGTACACACAAGATTGGCCTCAAACAAGCTTTATACAGTACTACACTTGAACAAGAATGTAGCAATCCACAATAAGTCTTGTACTAATATCGCGAGCAATCAGATGAGGAGGTCGACGAAGAAAGGCAGAGGAACGCACCGTAATGCTAAACTCAGAGCTTCGACTACCTGCGTGCTCGTCCCTCGCTCTGAGCTCCACACCAAGCGAATACGCATGAGAAGCGGCGATAACAGTGGCGATCCTTCGATGTCGCAACCCAAGGAACAGGCAGGAAGACGAGGACGAGGCGACAAACGAAAGGGGAAGAGAAGAGAAGAGATACGACAGGCGCTTGCCAGAATCCGCCTGAATGTCAGGCGTCTATGTCTTGTCTTCCACCACTCACTTTGTCTTCAAGTTCCTAACTACGACGAAGACCGTCCGGTGTTACAACGGTGAGTTCCGTTGCTTTGCTGAATGAGAAATATATACTCACTCACCGCTCTAGGACCGACATGTCGCTGCTATCTGCCCTGAGGACTTCGCCGTGTCGAACGTCCTCCCAGGTCGCGCATGAACTTGGCCAAACCCGCTTCGTCTCATCTTCTCCATACGGCCGGACCCACGTCTGGAAGCGACGACCAAAAACCCTACCCAATCCCTGCGTCCCTGTCTTCCCTCAGCTCGTCGTACGCGCCGATGGCGCAACGTACACGCAGTACATCACCTCTCCTCGTTCCGTCTTCCGTCTCACTCGCGACACCACCAATCATCCGCTCTGGAATACCTCAAGCATGATCGGAGAAGGCGACGAGAGCGAGTTGAGTGGTCGGTTGGGTCGGTTCAATCGGAGGTTCGAGGGTTTGGGTGGTTCGGGCGAGGACGTGAAGTGGATGGAGGGCGTGGACAGCGGGAGGCCGCTGACGCAGGAAGAGCTGGATGAGATGAAGAAGAGTGTGTGGGCCAACGCGAAGGCTGGTGGGGGTGCTGCTGCAAAGAAGGGCGGCGCCGGAAGTGGCAGACGGAAGTAGGGGTAGGTCTGTTGTAGATCTTCCATGAGTGCGTCCCTGGTTTTCATGTCGTCTCTTGCCGCACTGAAGAAATTTCGTCCCGTTTTTACTGTCCAGGCATCTTACTGATCCAATACCTTAATATAATTCTCTTCTGACCGAAACTCGTCCTGTCTGTTCGTCAGTGCTGCTGCTCCCCAATACGACACGCTCGTCTCACGGCTCGCTCAACCAACGTCGTCTCATCATCAGGCGAAGCTAGTTTGCTGCGCTACGTGCCATAGGACCGCTCGATCTGGGATTCTAATTCCAATGCCGGTCTTGGTACACCAAAAAACGCGTATTTGAATACGGACGAGTCCATTCAACGGCTAACGTTGCAACATTCGTACATTTGGTACACCAATAACCAGGCTCAAGTACCGACATCGAACTTGTCACGTACAGTACGGGAATTCGCATTGACGTCTACTGTACGAGACGGCCGGCATTCTACGTGGATGCTGTCGCATTCCCAATCTTTGCTATGCCATATTCCCAGTGGACATAAGCATTGAAATTGACCTGGGAGACGACGCGTTCACCATCATATGAATGCATTGCAAATGGCGCGGGTGCGACGGGACTCAGGTCTGCAGCGCGCCATTCCTTGGGAGTATCATCTGCGCCTTCATTGAGGGCTCGGTGAACCATGTCCGTCAGAAGGCTGACCCATGGTCGTGGAAGGACTTCACCAACGGATGTCATACCAGCTCTCGGCGATTTGTCTTGTTGCGAAGGTGGTCGATGTTCTCTCACATACAGGTCTACTTTCCCGCTGAATCCATGCCGTGGGCGGAATACAATAGGGAACGCCTTCTGCAGCCATTTTTCTATGAGGTCGTCTGCGGCGAATGTTTGAGTATGTTTTTCACCAAACAGTCAGGACGCTAGCTAACCTTTCATCCCGTTGTGGACTACGACAAAGACGACAGGGTTTGCGCCGTCGTTATGAATATGATAAGGTTTCTGTATCGATCTGAGCAGACCTTTAGCGTCCGAGGATGGGTATCGGAAAGGACTATCATAGAGCGACCAGCACTGGTCGGTGATTACCTGCTGTGCTCTTTCGAAGTGCTTCGGACGGGAATGACGAGAGTGACGAGAGTGACGTGTCAATATGTACAATGACTAGGTCGGAAAGGGGACACTCACAGTATGGTTCCTACCCTTGTCCCCATAGTCGTCCACGAAATACACATCGCAGGATTCTGTGCTAAGTTCGGCAGCATTAGAGACGAGACCAATGAGAAGCGAGCACATCTGCAGTGAAATCAATTCAACACTGCTTTGAGTCGTATAATCTGACTCACGTCTGTCCAGGGTATTGCACCAGGTGATTGTAGGTTGTCTACGATGACAACAAATTTTGTATCGCTCCGGGAGGGCGCGAGCGTTGCCGACATAACGCCGCCACCAGACTGAGAGGAGACGGCGTCGACTGTTCGGTTCGCGGCGTTGGGATGTTGGACAGACGGAAGTGTTGATCCATAGGGATGTGTTGCATGATTTGTTGCATGCATTCTTGAGGTTAAAACGAGACAGAGAAGCGAGGAGAGTATTCGAGTAGTGACCGACAGTGATGTCTGAAGGCCCATTTTATGGTCTTCGCCATTGGACCGAGCAATAGGAATGATGGGTGGCGATGTACATAAGGCATGCTTGGTAGTGAATACGCCATGTACTGTGGGACACGGCACAAGATTTAACGACACATGCACATACGCTGATGGAGTTGGACACTTACATCGGATGTGCTGCGGAGACAACACCAAATGCACGTAGGTACTTGTTTATAGAAGGTCATCGCTTGTCATGGCGGGACATGCCAGATCTCTATGGCGACAATAAGACGGAGTCGAGCACTTGTGTAGAGCCAATGGGGCGGCAGGCCACGAACTGCCGGCATAGGGATCAGTAGAAAACCAGCTCTCGGTCCTGAGGATAATCTCAGCTCACCGTTGATCGTAGTTCGCAATTGACTCTGTCTATACGTTATCTCCTGTTCATCACAGCCGCAACCTTACGACTGGGACGTGTGAACGGTCCTGCGATCGTTATGATCGTTCTGCTCATGGACCAAGCTCGATTCGATCCTGGAACCTCTTGCTCTGGATCTACATGATCGGAATCTTGAAGGCAAATCAACGAAAGCATCGTAGCGATGACAACGCTGGTCCAAACTCCGAGAATTGTTCGAGAATCGTGGCGACTGAGCGACGCCACAGCCAGTGCGGAGCATTAGGCTTGTATCGTCTCATATGCCGTCTTGCAGTGAGCTCGCGGATGCCGGTCTCCTCGGTACTCAGATAATTGCCTTTCATACGAGGTCAGTGCTGTTTAGAAAGATACCATTGAAGGAGCGACTCACCACAGATCGTTGCAGCCTTGCAGGAGTACACGACTAGGGTTGAGGAGAGTACCCTTATGCACGGTTTAATTTATTACTTATCTGGCGTTCGAGCAAGAAGAAACAGTCGGTTGTTCATTGAGATTCGGAGTATGGATGGCGTGAGCACGAGGTTCGCTGGTCACCGTATAATACAAGGCGACACGGTACTTTGAAACGACGTTCAACTGTGTACGTTCTCTTCCAATAATAGATATCAATGTGATGGCTTGGTTCACTCGCATCGGCTCAATGGTCTAGTAGTATGATTCCTGCTTCGGGTTCACGCCCCTCGCTTGGCAGCGAGCAATTGCAGGAGGTCTCGGGTTCAATTCCCGATTGAGCCCCTAAACCACCATCCGCAGTTTTTTTCGTATGAATTTATGGCGCCATGGGATGACGTGCGTCTTGAACCTCTCCTCGACACTTGTGCGAATCGTCTTCTCTTCCAACCCCTCTCGCGTCTGGTTTCTGAACGCTTCCTACAAACACTCCTAGTTTGCAGAATAATCACGCAACAGCTTCACCTTTCCCCGGAGCGGTGGGTCCGGTATTCGATCGTCGTAGTAGGAGAGCTGGAGCTGCGTTGGAAGAGGTCGTGATAACACTCCATTCTCTTGGTAAGTTGGTTTCTCACTATTTCATTACCTCTTTGTTCCGTTTTTCTGGCTGCAAGGAGTATCGCTTCTCAGGCCTACTAGACTGCCAGTTCGTCCGCTCACACGACTCAAGCCATCCACTCCACTCCTTTTATTCCGCTGTTGTCAATCTCGGCTTGTTCTCTTCGGTCAATTGATTGACGACTTCTGTTCATGTGTTCACAGACGTCTCCGGAATACTGGCATCCCTCGTCTTGAGCCTCCGAGCTCACCAACTACGGCGACGTTCATCCGTCTGGCACAACCACCACTCTCTCCTCCTTCCTTTCGTCACGGATGGCCTCGCCACAGTCAGACGAGCCGCCACCACAAGACAAGGGCAAGTCTCGCGCGTCCGCCGACGTCCAGGATCCGACCGAACGGACTCCTCTTCTCTCCAACTCTCCCTCCTCTTCGCGCTCACGCTCCGTCACCGGTGACGAAGAGGCTCGACTGCTCGCTTCACGGACTAGACCCACTACCCCCTTGCTTTCCAAGCTTCTTTCCGTATTCTTCGTCTCGTTATCATCTTGCGTCCTCATTTTCGTCTTTCTCGCTCTTCTTGCCTTTTCGTATGGTTCCGGCGCATCCCGAGAGGCACCCGACGCCCTCGTCCAGCGCGCCCTGGTCGTCCGAGGTCCAGACAAGATTGACGTCCTCAACATATCGCACTCGGATGGGATATGGCTGCAGGTGGATGGACGGGTAGGGATAGATGCGGGGGCGGCGTTGGGAGTGAATACGGATGTGGAGGATGGGCTGCTGAAGGATATATGGAAGTCGATTGGCCGTTGGGGGATTGAGCGGGTGGATCGCATCTCCGTCAACACCTCTACGGTGTCCGTGTTCTCTGAACATGGTCATCTCGCGGAGGTTTCGTTTCCTGGAGTCACTCTTCCTTTAACCGCCAACCCGCCGGACGACCCATCGTGGCTCACACCCATCTCCGTCCCGGTGCTCATCCAGCCTACGAAAGATCTCGGCACTTTGGCCCGCTTCGTACGCGATTCCTGGAGAGACGGTATCGTCAACGTTCGAGCCGTCGTGAACGAGACAGTCGTCGATGCTCTCGGTGGTTGGCTGCACCTCTCTCGTGAACATGTCTCCAGCACTGTTCGTATTACCCGTGAGTATCTTGTTCCATTTTTCTGCGCTTTCTCGATGCTAAATTCTATTTTACTTCTGCGTAGTGCCACATCTGCCGCCACCAGATCGCATTCCGGTAACACTCAAGTCTTTTCTCATCGAGTCTACACCCACACACCTCGCTCTCTCAGGAAACGCCACCATCTTGAACCCAGTCCCAGAAGACATGAACATCCATGCCACGTTACCCGAGCTTCCGTTCACTGTCTCCCTCCCGACGAACGACACCGCTGAGCCCATCGCCAACGTGTGGACAGCACCTATTGCGATCACGCATCCGAACATCTCGCTCTTTCTCTCCGGTGAAGTCACCTCCATTCCTCCTGCTGCTCAACCTGCCCTATCGCATTTCTTGTCTCTGTACCTGGCTGCTCAGCCAAACCCAATCGTCATTTCGACGCCATACCTTCCCGATCTTACGTTTCCTTCACTCTTCCCCGCGCCGAATCCGAAACCCCAAGTCTTGCGGAACGTCACGATCCGGAATATGATGGTGCGATATAGCTCAGATGGGAAGGGGACGATGTTGGCCAGCGGGACGGTGTTTGGGAGGGCGGTCCTGCCGAAGGGGATCAATGTGGGGTTGGACGTGACGAGGATATTCCCGGACGTGTTGGTTTTTGACGGAGAGGTGTCGAAGGATGGGGAGGAGGAAGATCCAACGAAAGAAGACGGCCAGGATTCGCGTTCAAGACCACACTTGCCTCATATACCACATCCACGCATACCACGTCTCTCCGATATTCCCTCCCTTCCACGTCCTACGCTGCCGTCTCTGCCTTCATCTCTGCCTTTGCCCCTCCCTTCCGAACTCCCCAAGCCCCGTATACCTTTCCCGGCCCTTCCAATAGGTCACTCGCACCCTCAAGCGCATGACCACCCACCACCACCCGCACCACCCCTCCCATCGCCACTACCACCGCGAGCGTTCGCTCATATCCGACCGGACGACTGGTTGCCGGCGACGTGTACGCGCGTGGAGGGAGATCCGGAGGAAGGGACGGCAGTGGAGGTGGAGGCGAAGATCGTGGATGTGCCGTTGCAGGTGTTGGAGGGCCGGGAGAAGGAGTTCAGGAGCTTTGTTGGAAAGGTGCGTCGCGTCGTTCTATCGTCATTTGCGGTTTCTTGGCTGGGGGCTCTTCTGCGTCATGACCACCTTCGTGCTCCTCCTTGACCGTTCTTACGCGTGCTAACTAGTTGCTGCGTCCTCCAGGTCATCTTCAGCACACAAGGAGCTCTCGCCGGTGTCCAAGGCACGGCCGCGGTTGGCGTACGCATCGAAGGACTCCCGTTCCGACATGGCAGCGACGATGGTGGGGAGATGGAGCTCACGGGGCTGCCATTCGAAGGGAGGGTCCGCGTTGGGAAGCGGGCTGCGTTTTGAAGTCTGGACGTGGTGAAAAGGGCGGGTGGAATGGGTGGATCAACGGACTGAGCTGGAATGTATGTACGTTATCGTGATTTGGATACTTGCTGGTGGAATTCTGTTCATGTCGTGGCTGCTTAGCTATGTATTCTCTGTACGCATTTTCATTGTATAATTTGACATATCCTTCTTGCCATGTGCCTTTCACTCGAGTGGGCGTCTTTCTCTCTTCTCGACGGCTGAAGCGGCTGCTTCAGGTTTGCATCGAAACACCGTCCTCGACAGCATGACATCGCTCCATCTCTCCTCATACGTCGGCGACGATACACAACAAAGTCATATTCCTTATCATAATATTATCCAAAGCAGTCTCGCTCCTCTTCCTTAAATAACTTCGCCGACGGATTGGATCTCGTATCAATGTCTTGCGACGACATCTGACATATCTTCCCATGGTCAACGTCCTTGCTCATCCATAACCCATCCTCGTCTTGTCTGCAACCCTCTACACCCTCCTAGAATTTGTGCCTACCACGTACCATGACATCCAAAGGTGTGGCCTTGATCACCGGCTCAGTGCGCGGGATTGGTGCCGCCATTGCTCTCCGCCTTGCTAGAGACGGATACGACATCGCTCTCGCCGATCTTCCTGGACAAACCTCTCTGCTTTCGGAAGTGTCAAAGCAGATAGTGGAGACGGGCAGGAACACACACTTCAGGATCAAAAGTAGGTATCTTACGTCGCAGCCTGTCGTCTCAAACC